GGTAACGATTGTAGGGTAGTGATTGTAGAGATGATAAACAAGGTAACGATTGTAGGGTAGTGATTGTAGAGATGATAAACAGGGTAACGATTGTAGGGTAGTGATTGTAGAGATGATAAACAGGGTAACGATTGTAGGGTAGTGATTGTAGAGATGTTAAACAGGGTAACGATCGTAGGGTAGGGATTGTAGAGATGATAAACAGGCAGGGCAAGTCCAAGAAAAATTATCGGTCGACTGCAGCTTTTTGTATTCTCTGGGTTTGACTCCTCCGCATCGTATGTGTCATTGTTATCATCATTGCATTGTTATCAAATTAGGGTTTGATACTAATGTGGATAAACTTCTCATCATATCATGTAATCTTTAATGTTAAAAGCAGAATTCCTGCATGAACGCGGACAGTTTCCTCCTTAGACCGGCAATAACACTCATTTATTTTTTTGTCTCTTTATCTATTTCTCATAAAGTTTGGATTTTTGTATCAGTTCGTTTGAAGCTCATCGGAACTACACTGGTGAGCTTTTTCATTTAGGGTGATCGTCTCATCAGCAAACATGGGAGACTGTCTCGATTTCGTTAGATTTTGTTTTTCATTAATTTCGGTAGCTTTTACATATTACAGAAAATATGCATAATCACTGAATTTTTAACCAACAAGAACTTCGTTGAAACAGAACCCGCCTTCCTTCACCCCTCCTAGAAAACACCATGTACGTAAAGGCTTTCGATGGCCCAAAACACGTGACTTTGCGAGGTGCATTGAGAAGGGAGGGGTGGGTGAACTTATATTCTAAGTTGAGGAACGTGTTTCAACACTTTTTCCAAGATCGTAGCTTTCAGTCTATATAATCTTGCCAGTTATGGCCACACACTGTCTAGTCCAAAGAGCAAGGATTAGGGTTGAGTTAGGTTACGTTAACCTCGAGTTTTCACCTAAACTAAACGTTTAAGTGGTTGCTTTTGATGGCTCAACAACAGCTTTGATAAAGATAGCATCGTCTTTGATAAACTCGCCGGACTCAAGCATTTCGTGTGGCACGAAGCACGGGTTACCAATGCCGAGGTTTTCTTTCATCGTAGGTCGGTTAAACACGACTTTTATGTTCGGTAGAGATCGATTAGGACTAAGCTGGTGCGTGCGATGCGCCTTCTGCTCGCCTTGATCTATGAGGTAAAAAGTTATCTTTTGCTTAAATGGCCAGTCAAGTAATGCGTCATAATCCCCCTTCATTATGATAATGTACAATGATAGATGCGTTGATTTGCCACGATCTCGGCCCTGTAGATAGGCTTTTAATCTCATTTTGTATCCGTATTGGCACGTGTAGAATGGTGGGCTGAAAATAGCCAGGTCTTCGGGTGAGGCGACGGCCAGTTCATACTGTTGATTATAATTGCTGATTTTCCAGATGAACACGCCGTTTGTACAAGTACTCCGGCTCTCGTTTTCGCGAATTTTAAGAAGAGCTAAGCTCAGATGTTTGTGAACCGCAGTCTTAGAATGGTCTTCGAGAATGTCGCGTTTTCCCTGGAAGAACGGATATAGAAAAAAAGCAACTGAGAGGTCATGTAAGAATCATAAACTAAATAAGAGCAAATCAGATGATAAATAAATTTTCTACCGATTAATCAAGAATTTCAGTCTGCGTTGATAGCCGTAGGCTGTCATCGCGCCAAGTAGAACATAAGGCCTGATTTTATTTCAGGTTGCGCAGAAGAAGTGTGTCACGTCAAATTGTATTCCACAGTACTTTTCGACGTCTGCCGCGCATACTTTACTGAATGCAGCCCATCAAAAATAAAAAAAATAAAAAACATACGAACAAAGAACACCAACCTTAAATACGCAACCAATGTCTTGATAAGGACACGGGTGGACTGCCAGCGGACACTCAGTCAAATGAAAAGACATCTACGGCAGATAGAAGAGGCCAAAATTAAAATTTTAAAGAATGCTTTTTCACGGCGATGGTTACTAAACTAGCTGCTTTAATCCACATAGGAATTCAACAACGCCTCCCTTGAATGACCGCTGAACAAATACGGCAAAACTTATTTACCCCATGACATAATGAGAGGAACTAGAAATCGATATAAAATTATCTGTGCTGTTTTCTGCCAATAGCCAGTGGAATTGCTTTGTTGTCTCCCAAGCGAACAATTCTGAATGAGCATGTAGATTGTGTACTCCAGAAAGGGATATACAATTCCTCGGGGTCTTTCTCATAGACACCGCGGAATTTCTTCTAAATTCCATATTTCAGAAACTAGTTCTTCTCAAGCTAAAGAAGTTAAGGAGAATATCTGGCAAAATATTCTATTCAGTCATCTTACCATTCATATTATTTCCTGCAACTTACTTCCTCTCGAGGAATTTCCTTAACTCCACACTTGTTGACGCACTCCAAAGGGATTCGTTTACATACTTTCATGTGAACCTATTGTTTTCCGGAAAGATAAAGTAGAAGAAAGAGAGACAGTTTTTCAACAACTTTTCCTTGTTTCTTTCAGCTTCTTGTGGGCTCTCAATGCGTCCAGACGATAGAAAAAGTGGGCGGACGAAACGCAAAGCAGAAAAGGGAGGCGGGGGAGGGTCTGCATTTTTCTTCCTCAAACGCTCAGAGTATTTCCTGCAAAGAACCCACTACAGGTTGGTTTTATAACTTTCACAAACATTGCTCCACGATGAGTTCCGATCTCAATTGAAAAAAATACCGCTAAAAAACTCTGATATTTTCTTTTACACCCTGATCAAGAAACACAATATTGCATGGGTGTTTGCCAAGAGCAACTGAGCTCAAAGTCAGATCCCCACAGTTTCCTGGTATGACACACAATGTGAAACTGTAATGAAAGAAGAAATATTATAGTCAAATGTAAGTCACCCTAGTCAACCTCCGCACCAATCGCCTACGAATGCGTGCAAAGGTTTCTACAAAGAAACGACAAGCCGTTCTCACCTTACTATCTTTATACGTTTACATTTCTGAACAAAACTGGCACGACACTACTCTCCAGCGGCACTTTGATACAAGATGATACTGAAGCGTTCGGCGAGGCATGAGTTCATTGCATTCCACATTTGTACAATGGACATCTTCGTAGGCACAGTTTTTCATGTGCTCCTGCAGGAAAAAAAGGACAGAATTATATTTATTGTACTGTGGTAAATATTCAGTCGGTTGGTGAAGTAGTGGATGGGTCGATCTGTCAGCGGTCATTCTGTTGGTCGGTCTGGGGAACTGTGGGTCCGGGTGGGTTGGTTGAATATGGTGAGTCAGCCCAGCAAGTCAGTTGGACTGATTGCAAAGTGCAGTTAAAGCAATTACTGATAGCAAAGTTTGAAAAATAAGGGATTGACGGGGATTGCACTCTCTCTCTTAAGGATAGTGGCTGGACGCTATTACTTACTGAGCTACGAAACCAAATGTTGGGAATGATGAGACATATTTTTTGTTATTGTTGTTCCTCGCAATGGAAGCTGATCATAATAAGGGAAAATTAATTATATTTCAAATAGGATGATAAAAATAATCGGATCCGGACGATAAACAGTTAAAATCAAAGATCAAAGGAGTTGGAGTTAACAAGGTCTGAAAATGGGTTTGGTTTGTGTTTCCAGAAACATCTTTAGACACTACAACGGATATTTTACAAATTTGAAACCGAAACGTTCAGCTACATCCAGGTTTCTTCAGATAAGAAATTACAGTTATCTTAAATATGGTTGAAAACAAAAAAATCAAATATGTTTTGTCTAAGATTTGGAAGTTGTTAAAATGAATTATAAAAGACGACATTGTGATTTAAGGGCGCTTACCAATATTTGCTCGTGGTGTAAATGAAGCATTATTTAAAGAGGTTTTATGTGAACTGGCCAGTTACTCGAAAATACTAATAATCGATAGTCAATGAAAACCGCGACGATTCAGCTATCGGCAACAAAGAGTGCTAAAGCATGAAAAGAATTAGATTTTCCAAAACGACCTTAAAAAATCTCCTTTGAATAATGAAAGTGTGTTTTGTGGTATCAGATCTCTTGCTACTGCTCAGAGACATATGTTAGTTGTGCGATAAATTGGGCGAGTTTTTAAATGAACGCGTGTGAAAATACTGGCGATAAACTGTAAAGCAGAAAGAGACACACAGCCCCGCGTTCATTTATTAATATTTCAAAGGAAACTCCATGCTGAAACCACGAGAGTCGATTTAAAACACGCGTTCGATATAAAATATTTACAGTGCAACGCCTTTTATGATGCAGAACATATGATTCGAAGACTACACCAAATTAAACGTGTTAACACTTTCACCAGATGGTCGTATCATTCATAAGACGATATATCAAAACATCAATCTAAACCACAATTTAAACAAAGAAAATCACCTTGAAAAATTGCTTTGTCTGAGCCGTTTCTGAAGTAGTTCTTAAGCTTGTTTATTGTTGAGATCATTCGACTATGGAAAAGTATGAGCACTCTTTTATTAGTAATTCAGTTTTCTTTCGTGTTTGCTTTGTTCTGAGAATTGACAATTAGTAAAAAGGACGATCAATTCTGAGAGGAGAGCGCGTCACATGAAAATTACACCTTCCAAGAAGTAAACAATATTTCCTTTAGGCATAATCTATATAAGAGAGATAAAATTTTAGATGGGTGGGATATTCATATTTCCACATTTTACCAGAAAGAGAGAAAACCACATTTCATCCGAAGTTACATTCATCCTAAGATTAAATAATAATTACATTGCTGAATGAAACAATAAACCGCCGGAAAACATCTCATAGTTATTAAATCCCCGTCATCTAATTCTGCTTGAAGAAAGACAATTCGTGGCATCTTTTTTGTTTACATCTTTCGACCAGCAGGACGAAACAATAAAAAAAGAGGGAAATTGACATCTGTAAAAGGGAAGCACTCATATGCCGAGACACGTGATCTTGAATCAGAAACATGCAGCTGGGTCGAGGAGAGCGGGTCGACGAAGAACAGAAAATCTATATTCGCGTGCGCCATACGTCAAAGTCTCAGTAGAAATACTTACTTTGGATGTAAGTTTGGAGAAAGTGTACGCCGCAGAAAGCTCTAGGAGTTAAAGATGCAAATGTACTTAAGAAGAAATTGAGCTATCAGTTTTGAGACAGTACTGATATGATTCTGAAAAAGCGCTTCGTACAAAAATCATGAACAAATTTTCTAGACTTCCTGATAGGGCAAGCGTTCAACTAGACAACAACAACAACAGCAAAACAAGACAAAAATAAAGCAAGTAGATATCTAAAATATTCTCTGATCTTACCTCAGCATAAATTAGATCTCCAGTCCAGTCACATTTTCGTTTCCAATTAGCACATTTTACTCCAAGTGATAGAACGGCTCGCTTTGCTGCCTTATCGACGAAGATCTGAGAGGAAAGAAAAAAAAATAAGAAAAATAATCGTCGATGTCTCAGATAAGAGTCATTTATTGCTCAGAAACAAATGTAATAGTCGGTGATCTTTCTGCGCGCCCAATAAATTGTAGAACCTCAAAGACCCCTATTTTACAAAAACTTTATGATTCACTATGTATCTAAAACACTTCACGTACAACTGAATCAAGCGTTTGTTGTGTCCGTTTTTGTCATAGCTTTCACTGTTGTCAATGGCAAATGGCATCGAAATGTTTCAGTGCGGCCACGCGAAATGAACACGAAAACACTTACGATAATGGATTTCAAGAATTCAAAAGGATAATGAGACAAACAATTTTTTTTGCCTTTTAACATTGCTGCAATAAAACTCAAAGTACTTACATACAAATCTTGTTAGCTTTACTTGAAATTGGAACAACAAGTCAAAATATATGTAGTATATTCTGACGCTGAATTGAATTTGCGGTTTGCATATATAACGGCGACGTGGGCGCGATAGTGATGTTGACCATTCAGGTCAGTTTTTGCAGCGCAAAAAAGGCTCTCGCCGAAAACGACATAGAAAAAATAAACGTTAAAGCAACTACTTCGTAAGTAAATTTTTAAAACGCGCAAATTTCGATATTTCATTTGAAAGGAAAATTTGCAACCACTGCGATATTTAGGACGAAACCATATTACAACAAATTGCTTTCTGCGATATAAATTGAAGCAGATAAACACAATACATAAAATTACGAAAATAAAAAAGTTATTTTAATCACCTTCGAAGACGAAATTGGTTTTCTATCCAGAGGGCACAAACATGGGCTTCCTTGCCTGCAGTTTTATCAACGGAAAAGAAAATAATCACTCGGCTCATATTCAAACATTCGCACTATAACTTCGTGCCACAAAAGGTTTATTACATATTTCAAATGATGAACAACAAGTGAAATTTTATCATCATACGCAGAAATTTCCATGCCATCGTGTGAAACTCTGCAAAAAGTGACATTAACCCTCGAACCGAAACAATCGAAAATACTTGGTTACACCAAACATGACTCCATGCAGTCACTTTAAATATTATTTTCTTCAAGAGCTTCCTGGTGTTCCTATTAACCGCGGCAGAGGATTTTCAAAAAACAGCAGCTTACCTGCGTTTTAACTCTTGAAGACATGATTGACAAAATCGATGGCCACAATCCTCGATTTGAACCGGATCGCGAAATGCTAGCTGACAAATTGGACATTCGTATTCTTCAGGAACCGGTAGAAGAAATTCTGCTTCGTAACCTCCGGTTACCCTATCGACCATGTCCGCCATGTTTTGACACACTTACATCCTATTTTTGAGCTGTACAAGTTTCATTTTTCCTCGAGCAATGTTTTCTATTCCTTAATGCGGTACCGAGCAACACCGACGCGAAATTTATTCCGGCATAAAGTTGATCCAGCGTCAAAAGAAAATGCATAAATAATAATGAGCTTACGCCTGACTGTTTATTTTTGTAATAAAAATACATCTGCCTCGATACAGGCCTGGTTTGCCAAGAAACGCCGAACGTCAAACATTAAAACAACACGACATTTCAAGTCCATTATCAACACATTCATGTTTATCTTGATGTTACATCGGGTCTTATTAAAGTAAATATTCAAATTGCTTGGAATTGAAATTGAGAAATGAAGATATTTTCGTCACTCATAATAATTTTGGCGCACAAAATATTAAAAACATTTTCAAATTTTTTAATCCAAAGTAAAAGGCATTTTATATTCACCATGGAGATCGGAAAAACGCAGATTTACAAACAAAATAGAGCGACTAGTGTATTAAATTTGAACGATGGGAACCTTAATCTTCGCCAGTATAATAGTTTTATTCAGAAGAAATATAATTCACAGACCTCTTGCGGGTGTTACGAAAACTAAGACCCTCGAAAACTAAGACCTAAGACCTAAGACCCGTCTTAGTTTTCGAGATTACGAAAACTAAGACCCCCTAACATTGAATCCGTCGAAATATAAAGTCAAATTGTAAGCAAAACAGGTCTAATCTGTCAAATTATCTCCTGTCCGATCCTTTCCTCCGAGTTTAAGGTCAAATTTAACGGTAAAGTTAGGGGTCTTAGTTTTCGTAATTTCGAAAACTAAGACCCCTCTCGGTTTTCGTAATTATGAAAACTAAGAACCCCATCAAACCATTCTGTAAAAATTCTACAGAGTCGTATTACTACCGTTCAAAGACTATAATTCATGAAACAACCAAAAACTACTATCATATATACGCGTGCTAGGCGATTCGCTTCTTCGAACAATTTGCAGACATATATTATCAGCATTGTGGCTTTATAAAGATGAAAGCCATACACTACCTACGTATAATTGTTCACTGAAAATATACCTTACCCCTATTGGTCTTTGATTTTGTTGTTTATCCTTTAAATCATAAAATTGGCTTTCCATTGGAGAGGCATGTTTTTCTTCGGGATTCTTCGTGTCTCTGCGATCGAGATTGCGTTACCTGTAGAGCTGAAGAACGTAAGCGTACGCGGTATGTTTTAGAGCGGAAACTCGGATTGAGTCGTTCGCATGCCTGATCTGCCTGATCATCATGTATGATAGCAGTTTTTGGTTGTTTTACAGATTCAGGAGCCCATGGGCTCCTGACAGATTATAGTCTTAGAACGGTCATAATTTGACTTTGTAGAAATTTTACAGAATGGTTTGGTGAGGGTCTTAGTTTTCGTAATTACGAAAACTAAGAGGGGTATTAGTTTTCGAAATCACGAAAACTAAGACCCCTCAATTTACCGTTAAATCTGACCAAAAACACGGTGGAAAGGATCGGACAGGAGATAATTTCACAGATTAGACCTGTTTTGGTTACAATTTGTCTTTATATTTCGACGGATTCGATTTTAGGGGGTCTTAGTTTTCGTAWTCTCGAAAACTAAGACGGGTCTTAGGTATTAGGTCTAAGTTTTCGATGGTCATAGTTTTCGTAACACCCGACCTCTTGCAAGCGCAGGGCGAAGAAAAAATCTCAGTTCCAGTGAAGAGTGGAACCAATTACCGGTGAAATGTTCTACTATTGAGCAAGAAATAAATGTGAAAAGAAAAACTGTAACCTATCGTTGCATGGTATCATTCTTTAATCAATGTTCCCGAAAAACAACGCTAAAATGTTCAGTAACTGGCAGTTCTCGGGGCAGATAACAACCACTTGGCTTCCTTTGTAAATCTCTTGAAGTCCTAAGCTTTTCAGAAAATTTCTTGTCCTTGAAGGACTTTTCCATAATTCTGACAAAGGCTTCTCGCACGGATCTAGGCTTTTCCATGGCGAGCATATGCAACCCATCTGCGTGTAAAACTATAATACAAAACAAACAAACAAAAATTACAGAAGATAATTTTTCTATTTGACTGATAACAACAATGATAACAACTGTATTGGTTACATTCGACAGCTTTCAAGTGGTTTTCCAGTTGTTCAACAAATCACAAAACAAAGTCCGTACACGCCCATTTATCCGTACCGAGCAACGTCGGTCATTAAAATGGGTTACCGATTAGCATAGCAGTGAAAAAACATTTTGAAGGTGCCTGTCACCACAATATAAAAAGTCAAAGCTTATATTTACATAAAAAAATGCCTCAGACTGACAGTCTGAAAGCCGAAACCTTCCGTTAAAAAAAAAGAAAAAAAGAAAAAAAAATTTTGACCAGACAACGCCAGATTGACAAAACCGATGGCACCAAAGCATTAGAAGATCTTTAGAAGCTGTTTGTTACCGAAAGCGTTGCAAATTGTGTATCTATTTATTGTGGAGGAGTTCTTGGGATGAAAATCACGTACCAGTTCTTGTAGAGAGGCTACTTCTGTAGCAAGAAGTTGGGAAACGCATTTGCCCTGCTCTTCTGTTACCACACCTAAGTGAAGAGTTTAAATCAGTTTTCAGTAACTCGCCGCGCGTATGGCTTTTTACAGCAAATAAACCAGTTTCAAACAGTTTAAACAACACCATCTTCTTAAGTTCTGTGTGGCCAGAATGCAAGTAGCAATATTTCAAAGGAATACCGTTCTGTAACCTATTTCACAGGTTAGGGCAGACCGGTGAAGGTAGTCGTTGGAAAAGATTCAGACCAGAAGAGTTTAGATTTTTAACTCAGGCTTGCGCCGGTTGTCATGTAATCGCAAAGTTTTAAAACTGGGTTTGTCACCAGGTGGATACATTTAAAAATATTTGAAAATACAAATTAAGTTACACTGGTGGTTAAAAGTTGTTTGCAAACCTGAGTCAGTGGCCGCTAACCTCAATTGATCTAGCCCTTCACTTCATACCGCAATTGCTACACAATATAGGTAGCTTGGACTGTTCCAAGACATACCTTTCACAAGCACTGTAAGAAGAGCTTCCAAAATCCGCAGATTTTCTTGGCAATTCTCTGGTTGAAATACCACTTGCTCTTCATATCTGTCGCCATCATCACCCTCCTGTGCTGAAGTCAAGATAATTCCAGCCCCTCTCAGAAATGAGGCCAGGATCGATGGACTGCACATCAGATATGGAGGGGGGTTAGAAATCAGAAAGGACAGATCAACTAGTCGAATGTTTCCTTCCTCTTCCGTCTGTAAAGAAATTGCACTATTGCATTACACAAAAGTTAGTTAAAAAAAAGTCAGTCCACAACTTTAGCTGCAATCCAGGACAAACCTCTTGCAATCGAGAGCGATAAATAAACATTGATGAACGCTGTTTGAGAATTACAACAAATAACAGCATGGCTGAATTGTTCATTTATTTCAAAAGAGTTCATCCATTCACCAGACACTTTCCAGACATCAAGGACACTTGTTAGCCACTTTATTCCCATTACACATTACATCACAGCTTAAAGAGTATAAAAAAGCCTGTAATGTAATTGCTGAAAGCCAGTGAAACCCACTCTTAGCCACCTATCCCAGCATCTGTTGTACAAGCTACACCGCACACAATATTACAATATTATAATATATGATTACCTGAAATTTTTTCATGGTTTCAAGCAAAAACTCTAGAGCCACCTGTCTATCAGCTATTTCAGGAAAACTAAACAGTTTTCTCAAGGCAGGCTGCCAGAAATGTTTGGTTCTCATGACTTGTACTTGGGATGTCAACCAGGTAACAAACTCAAAATCAAGTTCTAAAGTATCAGATGAAAGTGTACGACTTTGGTTAGTTCTTCCCTGTTTCAATAATGAAAAGTTACCCAGAATTTTCCAACAGCATGACTGCAAAGTGCAAACACTACACAACCAAATGATTATTAGCACCAGTATCGTCAAAATGAAGTAATATTGAACAAATAATGTCTGTTGGCCAGTTATCAAGTTTTCTGTATTGCACTGGCTATGATATCCCCCAGGGTCTTTATAATTTGCAACCACAGTGCCCCTTGCTGTAAGCCTAATAGGCTCACATATGGGCCCCTTGGAAACTCTGCCTGATCTGAGAGCAGTCAGTCAACATCCTATTAGGAAGGGAAATTGAAAACAATCTTCAGCCAGGCCCTGATTGTAGATGGTGAAAAAAGATACTTTTACAAGCCACTCAGAAAATACAAGCTTATCTTAAACATCATGTCTCATAACAAAATGCAAAGGTACACACATGAACAATCATGTATCCTCAACTGATGGGATTATGGGCACTAGTTATATGGTCGTATTTAACCACAGGGGGAGAACTAGGAAGGGAACTTTTTTCACTTTCACTGCTCAATATTTGCAGCCTTTCTGAACCTTATCCTGCATACACAAAATAAACAACTCAGTTTCATAAAAAAAAAAAAAAAGTCTTTTTATAGGATTACACAATTACTGGTGAACCAGTAGTTTCCATTGTGGTCCTTGCAAACAAATGAAACAAATGGTCTAAATTGAACATAACATCATTAAGAACATCATTAAGAACCCCAACCAGCTGGAGGCAAACCAGTTGGCTATTTACAAGCGTGGCCAAGGATCTGAACTCGGGGCTACCGTGGAACAGATCAGTGGTCAGGGTGGGATTCGAACTCAGGAGCAGCGGATTACAAGTCCAACACTCTAACCACTCGGCCACACTGCCTCCTTATAGTTTCATAGGTACTTGAGCAAACACAATTAAGGCAAGTAGAATGCCTGGGAGTGCATACTAGATTTTAATGTATTTTTGGCTGTCCTTCAGCTCAGAAATGAAAGCAATTAATGAGTTTACCTTGAGCAAAAAATGTTTTTTCATCCCAATCTGTCCTGAAAGGATTGGTTGAAGTAAGTTTGACATCATATGCAGGTATGCCGAGTGTTCCACCACAAGTCAGTGGGATGCGGCAGATACTAAATGCTCTTGGACCTCTCACATCCACAAAAACACAGCATTCATCCAAAGACTTAGTGCAAAGTTCTATTTGATTTTCTAGTGATGATTTATCATTACCAAGCCATGAGCTTGATCTGTATTCTACAGCTGGATAGTAATGAAGTCTTTCAGAATAACATACCTGCAAACAAAGTGAAGTTTTCTGCGAAAAGAATCACAGCTATCATAATGGCAATGCTAAGTTGGATCACATGCTGATTACATAAACAGAACACAATTAAACAACCGCACATTTGTGAAGTTTTTGTCTAATTTTTTGTTTGCATGTTGTTTAAAATGTAGTAATAAATTATAGGCTCTTTGCATATAGCGATCATAAAGAACCTTCTTTTCTTACTTTTCAGGAAATCTTCCCCTGAGAAAAAGCATATCTCGAGACATTGATTTTTTTTTCACATTTAAGGAACAAGTATATTTGCTAATTGGTGATTATAACCACAGGGGGCCAATACAATCTGTTTGTGTAGCCGATTGTTATTTCATAGTGAATGTACCAGATTTACCATTTGCCTTACCTATAGTGATATATTGCTGACTATGTATATAAATCAATGAGAAATAAACGTTGAATTACCTTACCTGTGGTGTATAGTTGTCCTTTTGCCTCAAAAATGATTTTTTGAGCGATTTTGAAGGAGTTTGAGTTTGTCGTCAATGTAATACATTGAAGAAAGACAAGGGTGGAAACTTTTGTTTTGAAAGGGTTCAAGCGCCAGAACGACTCTTCTCCCAAAAATCACATCACTCTGCTTTCAAACTTTGCAGCACTAAGGTCAAAAGATTCACGATTCTCCTTGTACCTTCCAATCGAAAATCCATCCAAACAGACTGGAGCTAGCCCTCGAAGAAAATCAAAATCCCACAGTATTAAAATGTCTGGGATGTGTAGCAAGATTCTCATGTGCCAGCCAGAAACCGTCACACTGATTGCCCTTTTCTGATTGGATGACGTTAAACAATAACTAAATGCCAATGGTTCCCCACCCTTGTTAGATATTGTGAATTGGTCATCGTTTAATGTCGTCCGATCAGAAAAGGGCAATCAGCATGACCGTTTCTGGCTGGCACATGAGAATCTTGCTACACATCCCAGACGTTTTAATACTGTGGGATAATTTTTGATTTTCTTTGAGGGCTAGCTCTGGTCCGTTTGGATGGATTTTCGATTGGAAGGTATGAGGAGAATCATGAATCTTCTGACCTTAATGCTGCAAACTTTGAAAGTGAAGCGATGTGATTTTCAGGGGACAAATCACTCTGGCGCTTGAACCCTTTCAAAACAAGGTTTCTACCCTTTTCTTTCTTGTATGTATTACATTAACAACGAACTCAAACTCATTCAAAATCCCTCAAAAAATAATTTTTGAGGCAAAAGGACGACTTTACACCACAGGTAAGGTAATTCAACATTTATTTCTCATTGATTTATATACATAGCAGTGGCGGATCCAGGGGGAGGGTCCGGGGGTCCGGACCCCCCTATCAGACCTGATGCTTACAACTTTAAGACTGAAATTCTTACATCGACAGGATCGTAAATCACTTTTTAACTGGCTGATTTTTTAAATTAATGAATCCAGTTAAACGATAAGCAGCAAAGGAATTATAACGTGCAACAGTGACTGGTGGGAGGGGTGAAGTAACTAGCCTCAAAAGTGTCCAACAGTCCTTTCTGAACCAAAGTTTGGACCACCCCAATCAAAAATTCCTGGATTCGCCCCTGCATAGTCAGCAATAAATCGCTATAGGTGAGGCAAACGGTTCACTATAAAATAACAATCGGCTACACAAACAGATTGTATGGGCCCCCTATGTTATAACCTGTCGATAGCCTATCTGAGTCGCCTTTCGTTATCTTTTAGCCAATAGTGCACTGACTATCAGCCCACCATTTTTTTAGAGAGCTGTCCTTCACAGTTACCCAATAGACTCCAAACTTCACCTTCTTTCCTTTTCACCAATGGTTTCCCTTCATATTACGTTCTGCATATCCTAGTTAACTAGTTGTGATCATCCTCTCCATTTTAATCCCTGGGTTGCCAGATTCACTTATCACCTACAGTTTACCCTGGGTATACATGCAGGCCCACTCAACTTTGTTCGAGTTTAGAATTCATTTCTATTACTTGGGGCAACGCTGCATGTAACGACGCCATAAGATTGAATATGTTGGCCACATGCTAGCGATTTATCCTTGGAATTACAAGAGAGCATGAAGAGCCCTCTAAGGAAAGGCCACCAACATATGGACCTTATTATTTGGAAAGTGTCCTATGAGAAAGGCCACCAAATCAGAGAATATTGGCTGGAAAATTAAATAAACTTATTTAATTGCACTCCCTACCTTATAAATCACGTATATGTGTGTTTTCCCCATAAGCTGAGAACGCTCTTGATCAAATCTTGACTTGTTAACTCTTGCAGTAAGCTTAACAGGGTCCACATACTCAATTTGCGTTGTCCCTAAATCGATCCAGCTAAAAATCTTTCCTTCTGGACGACCAACAAAGTCATCAATAAAAAGTTCACTCACACGGCGAGTAAATGGCTGCCTTAGCGTAGTTAAATGTCTGTTTACTTCTTTTTTTGAGCTACTATGAATATGAGGCTTTAAAACATGCCATAAATCGCTCGTCTCATCCGCAAAGATTTCCCCATTCTTACGTAAACTTCCAACGCATTCGAAAGTATCACGACTATTCTTGACAAATACCGACAAAAGTTCGAAAATCCCCTTCTTTACTATCTGAGGAACCGCATAGAATTCTCCATAACCAGGAAATAGCTGTGAGACAATGTTTCCCAAAGCGTTTCTTTCATAAAGTTCCCTCGACTTATCGTTCATAACCTCACCTACTAAGCAAAATTGGCCTTTGTTTACCTGGTTGTTATCGTCCGCCATGTTGTTACTAGGTCTGTCACATGCACAGGATTTCGTGACACGCGAATTTGGTCGAGAAGCGGTGTGTGCGTGCGTGTGGGGGACTCTCATCTGCTCTCTGGATTGGTCGGGGAAAAAAGGAAAATTTCAGTTCATTGTTTTTAGCACCTAATAGATAGTTACACTTCTTGGGCCTTTTCTTATTCTAGATTGATGATATTCACAATGGAACCAACTGATAATCAATCCACAGTTAACTGGGTAAATGTTACAACTTGCATACTTATGGAATTTTCTTGAAACTAAAGACATTTTTTTGGGGAGGTTGTCTGTGTCATTTTTCTTTTACTTGTCAAAATCAAAAAATAGCTGAAAGACAGACACACTATTTCACAGCAATAATTTGTGTTCTTTTTTTTATTTCAGCTATTTTACATAATTCTATTTACATCCATAATTCTATCCCCAATAAATTCAATTCATGTTGGTGCCGCTTTCCGCAAGGTCAGATACCCACTGACAATGTCCATGGGCAAACTACGAATTGAACCAAATTCCATGGAGTTGTTGTATTGTATCCCAGTCCTGGGGTCTTTGTATTTAGCCTGAAAGCACAAGAATTTAATTTATTACACTTGACAATACCTTGCAGCCTGATATTTTCGCAGGTTTGACTTTTCTGATTATCTACAATCCCTACTTATAATGTACCATGAATAACATCCCAAAAGTTAAGAGAAATTCCGCATGTGATTCAAGTGTTACCGTAATTCCCTCAGTGTACAACTCCACAAATTGAAATAACTTTTTTTCTCTTTTAAAATGTGCTAGTGCTTGGGGAGAAAGTTAAGAAACTAGATCCCTACAAAACTTTCAGTTATCTAGTTCTACAAAGGTTTTTTCTTGCAAAACACAAAACAATAACAGTACAAAAAAAAAAATAAAAAATGATCATGACAACACAAGGTAAAAGACTATGCTTCATCAAAGACACAAAACCCAAATAGAACATACAATCAGACACCGTCAAAGTAAAACAATTAATCTGAAAACTAAAACTCACTATACCTCACATAGCGATCACACAACAGTTTTATTTTACTTCCTTTCACCCAAGACCATAAAATTTTACTCTCCATCACCTCTTCTATCTGACTTATTCAGGCATGATGACAAGGAATTGTTAAAACATCAAGATTACCTAATACCTACAAATGGGAATAATTCAAATACCACTTACTGGCAAGCCAGAGAGGTCAGCATACTTTTTGGCAGGTTTGAATGAAGGTGGGGCATCTATGCTGCCGTCTGGAGATACAAGATGTCTATAATTTTATCCAGTTTAACCCTACATGCACCCTAAAGTTTAAGAAATACCTCTTATTACTCTTATGAACTAAATTTGAGGTATGCACTGTAACTTACATGGCAGGTTTTCAGCTCAGAAAGCCCAAGTGTGAAGGCCATAAATCCAAGAAGAAAATATTATAACATTCTCTAACATTTACTAAGATATTTATCATAATTTTATGTATGTTTGGATTCAACAAGGGTCATAGCAGTGGGTTGGTTAGAACCGATCTGTCCAACAAGAGTGAATGGAATAAGTTTTATATCAAATTTCATTAACTCCTGAATGTTTGGATATTTGGAGCTTTTTTAGCTTCACCACAGTTTTCTACATAAGGTGACTTGGAATATGGGTTGATAACCGGAGTTGAGTGAACCAATCAGAACACTAGAAATGCAATATCCAGAGTTTAAAGTTTAACCACAAATAATAATCATAACCTGTGTTACTTACATGTTGGATCATCTTGTTTCCATGGCAGTCCCCTTTCTAATGTCATTATTTGTTTTAAATTTTTCCAGATCTTTTTCTTTCCTGCATTGACCCCGGAGTGCTGAAGTATAAACAGAAACCATTAATTGGATAGAGTAGCATATAACCCCATACATTAATTATGCATTCAGACTAGTAGACTTTGTTTTTAAACTTTTGTCGTGAAAGACAACGAAGTGAAATGCATAATTAATGTATGGGGTTATATGGTACTCTTTCCCATCAATTTAATATTATTAAATTAATGAGGGCCACTAGTTACTCAGTTGAAGCACTGTCCCGTGTTACCATCGTTAAATGAAGTTGATTGATTGATTGATTGATTGATCATATAGGTCTTTGAGAAGAATAAATCAATACAGCAACCAAAATTTATCATTTATCCTTTGGACGAAAATATTGGTAATACATTAACCTAAGTTACCTCGAAATTAGAATCTTTGAATACAAACTGCCCGTTTGGCTGTGTACCGGCCTCGCTGACAGCGCTGTATGAAGACGGACTACTTGATGTTGAATCTAACTCGTCAGCTACACAGGGCTAAAACAAAAGAAAACATTAAAAAACTGAAGTTAAATGCTTTATCACTAAATAAACTTACAGTTAAAGGTCTTTTTCGCTTGCTTGGAGGTGCAACAGCCGCAGCTGGGCTGGATGAACGTTTCGGTTTTTTACTTCTACTCGAAGGCCTGCTTGACGCCATCTTGTGTAACATGAAAACGAGACAACAGATCGTGTTTTGATGAAGTGAAAACGAGGTTATCGTGAATTTTCAAAATGGCGCCTGGGTGAATATGTGGTTGTCAGTGGAGACGGTTATCGCTATTACAATTTTTCAAACAATTTAACCATGTAATACTCTAAGTTTTGCATTAATGAGTGGAAGGGATCTCAGGAAGTTTGTGAACTTTCACAGAACTGCCATCGGGGCTGCAGGTAGAGACAAAATACCAGAATTGGAAATAAATCATTTCATTTTGGAAATTTATTTCTGTATTTTTACAATGATTTCATGATTTTATAGTTTTAGGATGTTTCCGGTCTTTTGTAATGTATGCTTTAATTTTTATTTAACTGATTTATTTCTTTGAGAGAAAGTCACTGGTTTATTAGTCCTTTTTATACTAGCATGTGCTAATTAACCCCAATAAATAATTTGTATACTTACTTATTTGGCGATTGTAAATTTTTAATGTTATTCAATGTTTTAGCAATGGTATAGATGTTCTTAAGATGCAAAGAATCTTTACTTTTGAAATGTTGTTTAAAGTAACAAGTAGTCATGAAGTTCTGAGATAAGATAATTTTTTTTTCTAAGTACAAAAATATGAAGTTATGTAAATGTTACTGATTTTGCAGATAGTTCACTTGTAAACCGCTTTATAGAAGGACATGGCAGTAATCAGTATAGACCAGCTGATTATGACAAACTTCAAGCTATTGCTCAGCTTAGAAAAGCTGCAGGAAATAGAACTTTGCAAAAAGTAGAAAGGATAACCAGAGCTACTAAAGAGAAAAAAGAACAGAATCTTCTTCAGCAGCACAAAGCCTGTTGGTCAAAAGAAAAAATAAGACTTCACAGTTTACAGCGGAAACTACAAAGTGAAATTGATGCACTAAGACCTGGAAGTCCTTTTGATTACAGTTCAATTAAGGAGTTCTTTCAAGATCTAGAAATTTATGAGGAAGTGCTCAGTGAAGACAGCAATGAGTTTAAGAAAAGCACCATTCAACCATTATGGGATTTAAGAGAAGACTTGCAATTCTGGCTTGGAGAGAACAGAGACAGAATTGTGATGGGTGAGTCAAAACCTTTAATTTCTTATCATAATCAAATTTTCAGAAAGCGCAAGTTCCCTTGACATGGTCACATTTCAATTTTCATCCTGTTATGTTTCAGTCTTTCATTTATCTTTCAGGTTTATTATATATCTTTTGTTCTTTCTACAAGGTCAACTTGAAAATAGGCACTCAGTCGAACATTGTGAATTAATTGATTTGGCAAATACAAGGATTGGCCTTTGAAGATTGGTTAAAAATGGCTAAACCTTGGGCTGATTTCATACACGAAGAATGATCCTACTAACAGTTGGCAATAAAGAAACTGTTAACAAGCTCAGCCTGCTCAGTCGATACCCTTATCTCTAAGACTGCTTTTGATAATCTTATTAGGGGTTGCTGACAAAGAACATGCAGATGTGCTCAAAATTGTGGAATCGGTCAAAATTCAGCAGCGCACAGTATTAGAAAAACTTCAAATGGAACAAGAACAGCTTGAGCTGGAACTGGACAGTTTATCATTACATGAAATTACAGGATTGGGAGTGGTGTCTGATGTTGGTATTATAGAGACAGGCATTCCTGTTGAAGCATTTGATTTGGAGTGCCCTGATGAACAGTTGAAGGAAACTGTTTTGGAAGAGTTTCTTCTTCTGGATAAGAAATATGAAGCTCAGTTAGAGTACCTAAATCTTAAATATCAATATGTCAAAGAGTAAGTACAGTAAATTCTTGAGTTTGAGGCAGGTTTCATACACCTCCCACATCACTTTTGGACAAAAAGTTGTGTCAGGAGATCTTCTTGGTTGTAGTTCTGGCTCCAGAATTTCTTAAATATTAACTGATGTTTACTGGACAGGTTAACATGTATTATAACCCACCCATTAATTTTGGCGCAATTTTATTGCATACTTTACGTCATGTGGTGCAAAATCACAGGACAGTTATCACGCAATAACCCCTGTCCATGTCGATATTTGTCCTCCAATTTTTGTCGTGAAAAAGAAACATAGTCAACACAATAATTCCATTCTCCTATTTACATGAAAGGAAATCAAACTCATTTTTTTTTTGCTTGCTTGCTTGCGTCAATCACGCGCATTCGCCATCAGATCACCACTGGCTTTTTTACTGTGTTTACGCGCAGTTTAATTGCGATGTGAAAATTAATGGGAGGGTTATAAAATAAATAAACCCCGTTCTGCCTTGCTGGTATGTCGGCTGATAATGTCCTTGGGTGAGAGATTGTCCTCAAAATTTCATATTTTCCCTCGAAGCTTTGCTTCTTGGCCAAATATTCATTTTTCGGACAATCTCTCAGCTGTGGACATTATCAGCCGACATACCAGCCACCCGAAGGGGTTTATTTACTAAAATAATATTATTTTTGCCACAACTGTCACCTCACCCTTGGACCATCCTTTTTTTTTTTATTTAACCCTTTAACTTCCATGAGTGACCAAGACAAAATTTCTCCTTATCATATCAATACTAACAATATCAATGCAATATCAAACAAAAAAGTACTGAGAATAAGGGAAAAATAAAATCAGGGGATTATCAGTTGACCCAATACCAAATTCTCCAAACTTACAGATAAGATTTGTTTTGCAGACAGTAAGGAGGATTGCTAATAAGATCTTAATAATGAAATCTTAATAATGAGATCTTACTGATGATATCTTGTGTTTCTCAAAAAAACACAATGCATTGACCCATCAAGAATTCTTACCTTGAAATTCGAGAGCTTACCAGTAACAGCCATGGAGATTACTTGTTCTCAGGTTATTGGAACATCAGTAAACATAAATTTTCCATTTAGAACTGTGAAGTTGGCACGTAAGAGCTAGTCAAGATTGTCTCACAAATTCTCAGCACTCTTTGATTTTTATAGACTATGAGTAGTACATTTCCTCTGCTGGGTGGAATGCTAAGTTCTTATTTGGTCACTCATTAGTGTTCCCCACACTCCATGGTCACTGATAACATTTAAAATACTCCTGGGTAGAGAAAGGTACTGCTGGAACATGTCTAGTTACTAAAAAGAAAAGATATAAATTAAAAGTGGCATTAATATTTAAAGTGTAACTTAAATTACTTTTTCAGATCCAGCAGTGGAGGTTGGTCAAAGCATGATCATTTACACTTTGTTCATCTAATGGACCAGTATCCTCCTGAGATGCCAAACAGAAGGATGCTTTATATTGACAGGATGCTAAAAGAAATCTCACATAAGACCCGCTCGCAGCTGGTATTAATTTCTTTTAATAATAAGCAATAACATGTCCATAAGATTTTGGTACAGAGAATAGATGCAAGTCATGTTGTGATACTCACTGACAGTCACAATGATGAAATGGGTAAATTTTAAAGCTATGTTATATATATTTTAGGTTGAGCACGAAGAATGGCTTCTTGCACACAAATTTTACCAAGAGCAGTTTTCCAGCACACTTCGTGCCTGGGCCCATGATAGACAAGACTTACTTATCAAGGTCAAGGTAACATTTATCGATGCATGGGCAGCTTATGAGGAAGCTGCAGAGAAAGCCAAAACAAGGAAAAAACAGGAACACATCTGCCAAGAGCTCTATAAGAAGGTTGGTCCTCAGCAGTTCTTTGGAAATTTCATTTGAATTTAGTATTGGTAGGAAACACAGGGACAAGACTTCAGAACAATGTGGCAAGGTGATCATAGTGAAGTGGTGAATGATGCATGTAAAAAAGGAAAGAGAGACCCAGTTCATAGGTAAGATTCTGCTTTTATTTCCAACCATTTCAAAATCTGTGTTGAACTTCTTTCAGGTACTTGCATTCCGTGAGCAGAAGCTTGAAGCACTAAAGTTGCAAGCAGTTATTGCTGCAAAACAGCAAGAGGAAGAAGAAGAACAGCTGAGAGCTGCAGAAGAGAGGGAAAGAAAGTGCAGAGATAAAAAACATAGACAGGTATGAGTGGATTTGGAGTTTTATTATAATTTATATTATATATTATATTTATATTTTAATTTTTATTATAATGGATTAATGCTTAATTAATAAATTATAATTATAGCTTCTTTTATCACTTCCCTGTATGCAATCTCACATGGACAGTCATGTTTGGATTCCACTGCCTACTCAGGCAGGTTTTTTTAGGCTTTTCCAGGTATTATAAATCTGACAGAAAAGACTGTGTAGATAATAACAGTAACTCAGTTGTGTTTGCTTTTTATCAACATCCTTCTCTTGCAAAATGCAAATAAATCACTGCTCAATTCCAGCTAAAATCATGACTCAGTCCAATGCATAGTTGACGGTAGCCCATAATCACTTCCTAAAGTTGGTAGTGAAGTAATTCAAGTTGTACGTGTAGTCATCTCAGAATTATTTTGGGTGAAAACTTCATGTGTGATGCAGTAAAACCTTTCTTACAGATCCAGGAATTTAAAGACTTCAAACAGAGGGAAAGAGAGCTTTCAGCCCAAGAGGAGAGAAAAAGACTGTCAGAGCTTCAAGAAAAAATGGCAGAACAAGCTTTGTGGGATAGAGAAAGGTGCAGTGTGTATCTTTGAATGTTTTAGAAAATATAATGATTTAAATCATTTTAACTCCAGCGTTTGATACATGTGAATTAGCTGGTTAGCAGTTACAATCCTTGACAAAAGTTTGGTCTGCAAAAGCTCACTTACATAGCTTAGTGTATGCGCCCAATTAGCTTTAGTTAGAAGCTATTTGTCTTTGTATGTACAACTTATGTTGAGATCTTCACCTCCAAAAGCTTTCTCACTATTACAAATTCTTCATGTCATGTAATTATTTCAGGCATAGGCTAGTGAAAGTTTGTCTTTTTTTTTAATTTGATGATTCACATCACCTCTTTGCTACAATTACTTAGTGTCTAATTTAGCCGATAGACAAGGAACGGGAGAATTGCAGAATGAAAATTCTCATTATTGACTGAGCACCAAATATTCTTCAGAGTACAGTACCGCAAGGAGCAGTTAAAACTGCAGGAAGAAGAAAAGCAAAAAGCCAGAGAGTTGGCTCTTGAACAAGAAAACGAAAGGCAGCGACGTTTGGACAAACTTAGAGCACAGGCATGTGTGGTTGTGTTGTTGTTTCATTCTAATCAGTAACTTAAAAATGAAAATGACAAAGTGATCCTCACAAGTGAAATAAAATTGAAGAAATTGTAAAAAGAGAAACTTGAAAAAGATTTAGTCTAAGACAAGGCTGGAGCCTCTGTCCCCTCAGATATGAGGAGAGCCTTACTTCTTGCCTCTCTACAAAAGTGCACGTTTGGAGCCAGGCAAATTTCATTTATGTGTGGCCTCACATTATCACTTAGTAACGGTTATCCCCTCTATTATAAAAAGTCATCATTATCTTTTATCTTTCAGGTGCAAGTTCATGTAGAAGATGATCCAGAGAGATTGTACAAACAAACAGAGGTAAGCGGTGAAAAAAAAGTTACTAGAGGAGTGAATCATGTTGGAAATAAAAGAAAACGTGGATAATTTGTCACAAAGAACAATTCTGAGTCCTATGTAAGGTGTTCATGTGAGTGTAGCAAGCGTGAATGCAAGATTATGTAACACTGCAAAACTTTTGTGTGCTTTGGGTTGTTAGTTTTTGGCAGTGGGCTATCAGTTTGTAACTCCATCAATTGCATTCATCAATCATGTCCTCTGTTTCTTCTGGTAGCAAGATTTAGCAGAATAAAGCCTGTGAATTTGAAGCAACCATTAATATACCTATTACACCACTTTATGTGAAGCTTGTAACTAGTTAATTTCTTGTCATCAGTTGAACACTTAGGGGCAACACCTGAACTGCCTCAGTGTTCACATGAATCAAAGCTAGACACTACATAACTTTTGTTTCCAGACCCAAACATCTTCATGGGTCACTTGAACAAAATAAAATATCCAGTACTTAGAACCAATGTTTGTTTCTTCTAACTATTAGGCATCTCAAGCACGCATGGCCAGTATGTACGAGGAAGAACTTGACCTTCAGCAACCTCTCTTTGCTGTCCATGGCTATGATGAAAAACAGGTCAAATACACTTGATATGACTGTATCATTTTCATCTTCATGTGCAAAATTAAGACAGTGAGAAACAAACTCTTATTAAGATACTTTACCCTGAAAGAACCATCCCAGATGGAAAGTTCCATTACCAGTCACAATTAAAATCATGAAACTTTGTTGCTGTTTTTAGGTGGCTGCAGACAGAAGATTGAAGGTTGAAAACGCACTTAGAGAAGCGGGCATCCATCACACTGACTATGCAAGACGTATCATGGCCTCTATCAAACCCCCCCAGGAGCCAAGAAAGGACCAGCATTCAACTGTGTTCAAGTATGCTTCAGTTTTTAGAAATAATTTACAACAGAGTGGGAGGTTCTTCATCCAGGTTTTGAGCTTTGCAAATTACACCAAAACCAATTTTATATACTTTTGACCACCCCTCTCTGTCTTCCTCCTTTTCTTCCTCCTTTTCTTCTTTCAGCCAGCATCATGCCGGGCCACAACAAAGCTTTTTCCAACACTTATGAGATTTTTTATGTTACAACTCAAATGGACAATGATACACATGAAGATTTGAGAAAATGTCCTTGAAAGTTTTAGAGGCCTGTTTTATGAAATGTCCACATTAAGGCTAACTTCAATTTGAGTCGTTGGGTAAAAGCAGCATATCAGAAGACATTGTGGAAAAAAGTTTTCATGATCAAAGTACATTCAAGACAGAGGGGAAATTATTTGAGCAAGAATTTGCAGTGTGCATTTGGGGAAACACAATTAGGTGTTTTTCTGTAACCATAAAACAATTCTGGTTGTATTGGCATTCTCTCAGCCAACATTAAAGACAGTGAAGTACAATCCCATGGAGTATTCAAATGACAAGGAATCTTTGGTAGCCTTATCAAGGCTGTGCTCTAAGAAAAATTGAAGGGAGCCCACTGCTCTGAAACTGTAAAATCCAGGGTGCCCAGCATATACTTTTTATGAAAAAACTAAGATTCCTGAGTCGCCCAAGAGCAAAAGTAATGTGCCAGGGCCACCAGGCACTGCTAGACCACAGCCCTGCATGTGATTGTTGACAAGCATGGCAAACATTCAATCAAGAGTCCTTGGAACACTTAATTAACCTTTACTGAGATAAGTGTTTATTTTGCAGAAATGACTGATGTATGCTTATAAGCAGAAGTGCTTTGTGAAGATATAGTGGATAGTGATTTATGCATTTTTAGTAGACATAGAGAAGTACCTATTACTTTAGTTTTTCAAAAATACAACATTTTATGCCAAGCTGTACGCTTGAAAGAACATGATATTCATGTGAGTGGATGGATACCAGTACTAATTATTTATTGCCTGTATGAACTCATAAAAATAATAAAATTACAAAATTGTTTCCTCTTTTATGTTAAAAGGATCTTATTTATAATATTCAGATCCCTTAAAAATCCTGTCAAGCCAAATGCACTTGTGCCTCCCTGTAGATGTCTTGTAAATTCATCTAAGATGCAGCTGCACTTCAAATTTGCAATGTAATTGAATGACTGTTGTTGTTGTTGTGGAAAAATATGAAAATGGCTACAATGTCTTACTCAAGTTGTCCACGAGAAGAGTTTGTCTTTGCAACTAAGGTCTTTCAAACACATGTCCTGTAGTTTTTCTGCCTCCTGATAATGTCTCCACTGTCCATGTGAGATGCTTTGCTGCAAAGGACACTCACTCCCAAGGTAGTTTTCTTCAGTGTTCATGCTTGGAACATTAAAGGCCACTGATGGTTGGTGTACAAAGAAGGTGGCTTTAAAGTCTCCTCCTTGTGATTCTTTCAGTAGATGACACAGTTCATACAGACATCCAGGAAGAATTGGACCAGAAATCTCCAGGCTACATAACTAGAAAGAGACCATCACAATTAGTGCACTTTTTGTTTAAGATTTAAAAACCCAAAACCAAAGTAACCATAGTGGCCATTATTGCAGCAATGAAAATATCATAACCGTTCAAGGTCCTTTAACCCTTAAGAGTGACTAGTATCTCAGTGGTTTTAAAACAAGCCGGCAACTGCCGGAGTTCTGTCAGCTACTTGATTGTATGTCACTGGCTACTCTGGTCATAACAGTCTGCTCGTGACAAACAATCTCAGCGTTATCAGAGCCGCCTACTTTTCCAGAGTCAGCTGCCTACTTCAAAATATTTTGAAAACCCTGATATCTAATTTCTCCTTACAATATTACTCCTGAATCACACATTAAGGTCATGAGAATAAAGGAAATGATCACCAACTAAAGAAGCTCTTCATTGTTAAACAAATTCTCTTTGTTTAACACCTTAAGAAACATATAGAGAACAGTATGGAGAATATGTACACTGATCTAAAGGGTTATAGATCCAATGAGAATTCACAATAAACTAAGCAACCAAATTATTAGAAGTGTCCGTAAATAAACAACAGTACTTGTTGTAGCATGTGTACTTGAGCAGTACACCTCACTCTCACAGTGCTTCTTTCTACCCAGGGCCAGGTTGTTATAAGTCCAAAGAGCACCACCACAAGGTTAAATTTTAATCTGGGTTTCTTTGTTTCTTTATTCAAAAGCCTTTTCGGATAATTCTCTCTGTCCTTTTTAGGGGGATTGAATCATAACATTGTAGACAAAAGGAATGGTACTAAATTTTCTTGTAAAGCTTTCAAATCTGAAATTAAAGTTTGCTGGTTGCACTTTGCGATTTCTACTTAAAAGCAGTTTGCTGGATCCTATACCTGTGTCATAGCCTTAGCTTGTTGATGCTTCATAGTCCCCTGGTTTACCTTCAGACCCTTTAGAGTGGCTCCCTCAAACGCAACAGGGGCCAGCAATGTTGGCGGCACCTGAGCTTGTGGTCCAGTGTTGGCTGTCAAACTCTTACAGTTGAGTAGGAAGTTAAACAATGCAAGAGTATCACTTCCTTTCACTAACACAGTAGAAGTTGGATGTTGATCTAAAGTTCTTAGGCTGTTCCTCTGATGTGGTGTAACAACTTTAGGTTTTAAGAGTGGAAACTGTTCCTTATCAAGTCCCATGCTTTCTAGCCACTCACACTTGTTGCTACTCTCATCATCAGAATCATCCCCAGACTCAACTCCTTCCTCTTCGTCAGAGTCTTCATTCTGAGAATCAGACCCAAACTTTTTCTTTTCTTTAACCTCCAAATGTGGCATGGTAAAGTTAATTCCTGGGATCGGAAAATATAAGATTGTTGAGAGAAAATTAAATTTAGGAGAAAAATATATATTTTTAAATAGAATAAGATGGTAAGTTTTGAACTTGGTAAAGAAAAAGAGAAAGATTTTCTTTGTCTTGTCACATGCATGGGAAAAAGAAAAATTCTAAGTGCCCATGAGGAATCAAACCTCAGACCTTCGGATTCAGCACTCCAATTTTCTACCACTGAGCCCAAGAGACTATGGTGAGCAAGGACCAGTACGAAGTTCATGAAGGACACACATACTGCTGGGATCAGCAGTGTTAACATTCCTTATCCTAGTACTAAGAGAAAAAAATCCTTCTCTAAAATAGTATTTGCAGGGAAAAATTACTGATTTAGTGACTGGGCATTTTAAGTGGGAGATCACATTTTATGCATCTTATAAACAATTTAAAGCAGTAGAGTGCATAACATCAGTTTTCCCAACCCCTTGGAGTTTCGGTGGTTATGTGAACAAGAAAAGTGTTCAATTGCTTTATAAAACATAAACTTATCAGTAACACAATAAATTCTTAAGTGTCACATCATAAATTCTTGTCGATCTAAATAAACCTATTGACCGATGCAAGTGCACACAGCAGCTCAGTTGTTTTATTCAAAACCAGTTGCAACCTTGTCTGTGGTGGTAGGTACATGTAAGCATATTTATTCAGGGGTTCAAATTACATTACATAATTGTACTGCTAGTAGCAGTTTTCATCCAATCACAGCTTAAACAAAAATTACCCTAGTTACCTATATGCACAAGGTTATAAGCCTAAGTTTGTAACCATACAAGGTTATAAGCATCTGATAAAGGTTTTCAATTAAATATTTCTGCAATGATTAGCGCGCTCATCGGACTAAATCTGTTCAGTGATGTAGTCTTACCTTCACTCCTCAATGCATCCCGAAAACCTTTCGTGGTGGGTGTTATAAGGACTTGAACTGCATCATCCCTGTTTATTCCAGCTGCCTGAAAAAGCATATTGGTCTGATTTGCAACTAGATAAAAATAAGGGCAAAAACCGACGCGTACCAAGTTAAAAACAGAGCGAAAACCGGACACCCAGTCATGGTGAAGAGAAGATGCCATTTCCTCTGTGATTTGAAATTGTCTTTTTGAACTAGTTTTACCATCGGTTGATTTGCGTGGAAAAAGTTCGAGCCACGGGAGAGAAGGGTGCATCCAAACTTTGGTAAAGGAACAAAATGATTCAGGATAAGAATAAGCGTTTCCATTGGAGTCGATTTCTTTTGTTTGGCAACGAACAAAATTTGACATACCAGCACCTTCGTCAAATGTTTTCAGTGTTCCACACCAATTAAACGTCTTCGAAGACGTAAATCTTACTTTAGTTTTTAAGCTCCAGTCTAAAGGAAACATTTCTGAGCCATCGTTCTTAGTGATCGTCTCTTCAGCTTCAGCTGGTTGAGAATCGGCAACGTTAGTCTCCCGTCTTTTGTCAGATGTATTTTGATGTTGAGATTTGTTCCATGTTTCACGAACAGTGTTTGTGGATCTATTTTCCTGATCCTCGTCCAGTCCATCGAGGGCACTAAACAACCTGCATTCTGACGTTTTCTCGTCTGAGGTGAGGTTTGCCTTTTTCTTCGGAGAACACCTTAACGGATTCGCTCTCTTTAACGACTTTAACCCCTGGGAGCGGCCATCTTGAATTCGTCCATTAATAGGTTTTAAAGCGTTTGAAATCCGTTTTGAGGAGTTTTGTGTCAATTTCTTCTTTTTTATCTTTAATTTTATAACTCCGGAAGGTTTCTCGAGCTGAATAGGTTCAGCTGCGTGATTTTCTTCCATGTTAAAGAGCGACAATTATTTCCTTACAAAATTGCTTCCGACGAAGCACGGTGGTTTTTATAAATTCCGCGCCAAATCATCACGTGATATTTACCTTACTAGTACCAAAGCCTTCTCTCTTTTAAAATCTCTTCCAAACATTGCATTCCAACCAAGATCTTTTTCAGTGGCCGCCGTCACAATACAGGCTGTATTCTGAATTGGAAACAAACTATCAAGACAAATGTCTCCAAATAAAAAGTTTTTCTCCGGATCCTTGTGGAGTTCTTCTAAATTTCCCCTTGCTGTCTTCTAGGATTTGGGGTCATTTTCCGTCGTTCAGTCTATTAGGATTTGGGGTCTTTTACCACCGTTCCGTCTTTTAGGATTTAGGGTCATTTTCCGCCGTTCCATCTATTTGAATTGCCAAACCTAAATACTTCTACACGTGTTGAGTATCAAGGAGCACTTCGGTGTAAAAGGGACTGGAAGGACGCATTTGGAATGTAGTTTTCTAAAAAAAAAATGTATTTTATGGCAAAAACCGTTCTAATGCTTTATCTCCCTTTTGTATTAATCGCCATACTTTATGTCATCGTTGCTATTAAAATCAAATCCCAGAAGACTCTAGGCAGGCAATCAGCCTATACAAGAAAACAATACTTAAAGAGAGACAAATGTGCTGATGATGTCCGTTGCCATCGTGTTAGTGTTCGCAGTATGCTAGCTGCATCTTACCATATTTTTGTTTCTTTCGTATTTTTTCATCGAATATGACCGTGACACAGTCCTGTAACTTTCTTTAATTCGGGCTTTCGGCCATTTTCTGTCCCTTTTAAACAGTGTTTTAAACCCTTTCACCTGTTTTATCTTCAGTTGAAATTATTGCCAGGATCTCAAGAATCTTATGAGCTTCTTTTTGTGCTGATTGAAGGCTTATATGTCAACTTGCTTAGTAGTATTATAAAGTAAAGAGAGGCCCAGAATAAAATTTTTATTGAATAAAAAAAGAATCGACTGATAGCTTCCATCAGACTAAGTTCTGTCTACTGGAAAATCTTTTTATAACACTTTTGTCGTCCTTTTCTGACGATACTGAATGAAAACGTAGACCGCGGTTGTAAATTGTATTCAACGGTACATTTGATTGGAAAAATATGGATTTCACTTATTACAATCAGTAAGTAAAAATCAGGCTCAAGTATTCGAAGTAAAGCTTCATGAAATCGTCAACAATTTTGATAAACTGACATATCAGGTTGTATGTGTTTGTAGCCTCAACTCTTTCAATTATGGAGAACTACAACATAAGAAACATAGTACGCATCGTCTTATTGGTCAATTTAGTTTCCGAGCGGATGCTGTTTTAGGTTATGGAGCCCGAATGCATGTAGCTAGTTATGTCACAAACGCAACAGAACACATTTTTTCCGGGCTCCATTAAGTAATAAATACACTTAGAGTACTTAGGATGTTGGGAGATCACGGGGAAAGCTTACAAATCACGAGCCGAAGGCGGCGAGTCATTTATAAGTTTTCCTCGTGTTCTCCCAACATCCTGCGTGTATATACCACGTTCTAGGGCTCGGAAAAATATGTTCCATTGCGCAAATAAAAGACGCAGAATAGATATTGTAACATATCATTTTAGCATGTACAGCAATGTGTGATAATGTGTTGTTTTCCCTGAGCTTAATAAGGGCGTATTATGCAACAATGTTTTGAATACTCATAATGCATAACTAACATAATTAGCATAATTAGTATAGTTAATTGACAATGAATGTCATCTCAATTTGCCTTCATTTTTCAAAACTTGATGGCACACTACTTGTAATACTGTACAGCGGAATACCCAAAGCTGCCTATTCTCCAACCTAGAAAAGTACGCCGTAAATTAACACATTTCTGATCTTATTTGTTGTCACAGTTATTCCTTTCTATGGAGAATGAAAATTTTGAGAAAGAAAACCAAAGGATCGATAGAAATCACCTCTCATCCTGAAGTCTAACGAACAGTGCATTGATAATAAATGTTACAGAAAGTCAACAAAATTTCAATGCGTACTTATGACACAAACGAAATAATGGAAGCCATTTGGTGGAGATCTTCTGCTAGGAGTGACAAACCATCGAGAAGCAGAAAGTGGTCGACCGAGGGGGCCTGTAACCAGGTATGTATGACCGCAAACGAAGTGTAGGCTCAAAGCGTGTCCGACTCCCGTGGACACACCCGTGTGATTCTCTTACCTGGGACAGAGCCTAAAAACATCTGCATATTTCACCGCTTCTCTCTTTATTCTTGGTTTCTCGATTAAAAAACTTATAAGCCGTTGCTCCCAACAACTGTGAGAACCGAGTGCGTTTGGCGATGGGCCGCAGATAATTTGGTAACTCATTATCTCCTAAATATATTTGGAAGATTTCTACGGCCTTTTTACGCAATCAAGGCGAAAAATTAATTCCCTTTACTTGCGGAAATGATATAAACGATCTTCTCCATTTCCAGAACTACTTAGATGACACCAACAAGAAAAGAAGAGTTGTAATGAAGTGTTACTTCTCTAGGAAACGTTTTAAAATGCTTCCGTTTAGTGAATGAAAAGCGAGCGAGAAGAATTAGCGCGTATTGCTAAATGATAGCAGTTTTTTTCTGCTTTTCGAGGGCTCATATCTAACTTTAAAGAAAGAGATCGGCTAAAACAAAAAAGGACATTACTTTTTGAATGGAAACGGATAGAAGTAAAATATGTCTTTTACTGACGTGACTGATAGGAGTTGTATTATACAACTTGGTTAACACAACACGATACGCTGCACAGTCTATTTGAAGAAACAAGGAGTATTAAAGAAGGCCAAGAAGATAAGATCATGTAAATTCTTTGTTTTGTTGTTTATGAACGTTAAACGGAAACTTTACAGCCGCAAATCGCAAGAAAACATATTCAAAATAAACGCAGGTGTTTTGGTAGACATCCGTGGCGACTAGAAAGTGATCGTTATAGTGCACTGAAGGTAAAACAGCAAATAATTTTGTCGTTTGACTGAATGGTTTGCTTTCCTTCATCACCAGAAGAACTTATATTGCACGTGATCACAACGTGTACATGATTGACGGCCCTTTCCTTTTAAAGCTTCCTACTCAGTCAATAATTTAACAAATTGCACGTGGTCACATGAATCTAAGGGAACAGATGATCGTTTACAAACCCTTAACTAATAAGGAATACTGGAGGAGGACAAGATGTGATCGTGTGCAAGTCAACCATTTGTCCTTCCCCCTCAGGCACAGCGGAACCTTTATCTGAATTTCAGTGTTCCATTGACTTCAGCAGCTGTGTAATTCTGTTCATTTTGGAACATGTTCTCTCAGTCACGAAAAAAAAGAACTGCGACAACAAAATGGGCCCTTTTTGACACAGTTTCCTAAAAATTCAAAAGATTTTCTGAAAATATCCAAGTCGTCTCCCGAACAAACACAAACACACAAATTTTGGGAAATGGATACTAACTTTCTTTAGCATTCAACTGATAAGGGATTTTCGATGAAAATATCGTCGGTGTACAGGACCTTGTAAAATTTGTTTCCGTGTGTTAATTTTGCGGCGCCTTATTGATTACTACTTCAATTCTGCGTTGGAAAATACGTCAATTTTTTTAACTTTTAAAACTGAGTGGGAAGCTTGATAAGGTCAGTAGTATGATAATAATAATAATAATCGACTTTATTTAAAGAGGGTATACACATAACAGCTTACGCTGATAAACCAGTGGCCCTCAAAACTAAAGTGAGTAAGTAATACATTCTAAGCCATAGAGAATAAAAATAGAACTAACTAGTCCAACAATGTAACTATTCAAAGATTATAAATACAATAAAACTAGATTATAATACAGCTTCAAAAGAATCAATGTCTCTATAAGAATTTATAAAATAATTCATCAAATCATTCCTAATAGAGGAGATGCTACG